AATGTAATGTTAAGGGCTGTAATAAATGTCAACTTAAATAAAGTATCTATTCGTAAAACTGCAGTGGAAATTAAAATAAACTATCGCACACTTGCTAGGTATTGTAAAAAAATACCCGAAAAAGAACAGCTAGATACTAAAATTGTTACTCCAACAATCAATGTCGGTTACATTAAAAATAGTATGGTTTTTGATGAAACAATAGAGTCAACTAGAGTCCTAAATATTAAGAGCTTCTGATATTTATTTTGGTTTATCCCCTAAAGAAATTCGTACTTTAGCTTACCAAATAGGCWTTGAAAATTCTTTGAATATTCCTCAGTCATGAACAAAGAATAAAATAGCCGGTTCAGATTGGTTTACTGAAGTGTAAAGAATGGTCTCATAAGGAGTGTACAGCTGGTAACATATTACGTTATGTGTGTCACAACTGTGATAGCCCTGTTTTCAGTGATGCAAGTTCTGATTAATATGTATTTCTACTGGGATTATTATATTTAAGTATTCTTACAAAATATCGTTTACCTATTGTTTTTGTTATTTATTCTAGTATAAAGATTTAACTAGTTACCTAATATTTTAACGTGATATTATATTTAAATTAAATTGTATTACAAAATATTGGTTTCTCTTTGCTTATGTTATTTATTCTAGTATAAAGTTTAAACTAGTTGTTTTCTGTTTTATATAAATTGGTTGATAAAAAATGAAAGTTAAAATTGTATGTTATCTGTCTTTTAAAATACCTGGGACAACTAGCCCCAAGCCTTGTGACAACCAACCCTTATAAGGGGCTGGTTGTCACAATTGTAATGTTTAAAAAATATAAAAAAAAATTGAGGTTAACTTGAAAACTAGTGTTTGTTTTTTTTACAAGAAGTGTCTAAGATAATATATTTCATTATGAACTTACCATGAACAAACAAAAGATTTTTTATAAAACATTGAAATGTCAAAATTGTGACAACCATACCCGGTCTCCCCTATACCTCTAATTGCTATAATAGTTGGAGCAACATAACCAAGGTAACAGGATCCAAAGGTGGCATAACTTTAATGTATTCTTCCAAAAAATTCCATTTGTTTGAACATTTCTTCTTAAATCCTGAGTTTTCAGTAGAATGACATATTGATAGTTGTGTTTGCATTGGTTTTGACTGTTTTGACACACTGTTAGAAGTAGATTTCTCTATTTTATATGCCTTTTATTCAGTCATCAAACCCGGATGCACATGCTATGAAAATATTCTAAAGTATTATTTTATTTAAATTTAAATTATTACGTAAAATCAGTTATACTGGTAGGTAATATAGACTATAGCAGAACCTACACTAGTGCCTTTAGATAAGTATATTGGACTTATGTTATTTCTATATACATAAAATATAATTACGTTTTTTATAGGTATTCGAGGTGGACTTACACAAGCCAGCATGCGGTATGCAAAACCAAATAATGAAAAAACACC